TAATCTGGAATCAGATCTTGGGATATAGAGTGGTGTAGATCCAGCCTTAGCCTCCTTAATCCAGCTTTGGTTGAAAGCTGGGATCAGCTCAAGACTTTTAGGTGGTGGAGGTGAAGAATTAAAAATGCCATCTCAATTCACTATGGCAAATGCAGAAGTTGGAGTGATTGACACTCGATCTTAATGCTTAATATCTGTTATTTGAGATGGTTATCACAGATAGGCCCAGCTCTGTTGAGAAGGCCCACTTACTAGAATTGCACAAGGATGTTTGAATTACAAAAGATTATGCCAGATCTAACTTTGTTCCATTAGCAAACCAGTGGATTTGTTGACAACACTAATGATCTGTGCTCATCAAACTGGCACTGCACATCTTTGAAACTATTAATGTGTTTTAGCTAAAAAATATAATGGGTTATTTTATATGTGTGTGTGCATGAAGTAACCCACTATCTCTCCACACAGATTTAGGATCGCAGCTCCCATCATCCCCTCAATGCAGCCACTAGTGAAACATCCTGGGATTAGGAGCCTAGTGAGGTCTGGAAGAGCGTTTCCTCCTTCTCTTTGAGGGTTGGGCTGCAAGAGCTGGATCCCAGCCTCCTGTTGCCTTGTTGCAAACCGCTCCTTTGGCTCCAAGACGGGCTGGGCTCCCTCTTTTATCTCCCCCCCCCCCCCCCCGCCCCCGACATAAAAAAACCCCAGGTCTTTAGCGTGCGACCAAGTCCGCCAGAGCCCAACGACCACAACCTTCCCAGTTGGGCTGCCTTTTCCTCCTCCTCCTCCTCTGTATTCCTCTCTCTCTCTCTCTCTCTCTCTCTGCCTTTCTTGTTCTTCTCTCTCACGAAAGAGGTTCGCATGCAGGAAGCGAGTAATTAAAAGGGCTCCTCAGCAGGGATCCGGATTAATTTTGGACGCTCGATTAAATCCCAAATTCTTCCTATAAATTATTGTCCAGCTCCCCGGGGCGGACACAAAGATGATCTTTTGTGTGGGACCCACGAGGAGGTTTTTTCAAAATATGATTATTTGCAAACTTTGCCCGTCGGCGAGGGCTTTGCGGGGCTCCAACACGCGAACCTGCCCGCGGGGCGCGAGCCTCCAAACCGGAGCCTTTGGGGTGGACGGGTTGGCCGGTTGGTTGGTTCCCCGCCCAGTCAACAAAGGCCGGCGGCCCAGCGACGCCTCTCCCGCTTTGCCTGCGCCCATCGCTTGGGAGTCGTCCTTTTACAAGTCTTTTCGCCTTCCAAATCTCAAGATTCTATGCATTCAGCCATGGCAGCTGAAGTGATGTCAACCCGCATTCGTTCTACAGTCTAGATGCCCTCCAAGGCTGGGGCTTTAGGTGGGATCCAGTTTTGCAACTGTCTTAGGCCTCATCTACACAGCCATATAAAATCCGGATTGTATGGCAGCATAGACTCATCTGGTTCAAAGTAGATAATGTGGATTTGATAATCCGGATTATATGGCAGTGTAGAGTCATCTGGTTCAAAGCAGATAATATGGATTTGATAATCTGGATTATATGACAGTGTAACCTCATTAATCCAGTTCAAAGTGGATAGTGTGGATTTGATAATCTGGGTTATATGGCAGTGTAGACTCATATAATCCAGTTCAAAGCAGATGTGGATTTGATTATCTGTATTATATGGTGGCATAGAGTCATCTGGTTCAAAGCAGATAATATGGATTTGATAATCTGGATCATATGGCAGTGTAACCTCATATAAATCAGTTCAAAGTGGATAATGTGGATGTGATAATCTGGATTAGATGGTAGTGTAGACTCATATAACCGGTTCAAAGCAGATAATGTGGATTTGATAATCCGGATTATATAGTAGCATAGAGTCATCTGGTTCAAAGCAGATAATATGGATTTGATAATCTGGATTATATGGCAGTGTAACCTCATATAATCCGGTTCAAAGCAGATAATATGGATTTGATAATCTGGATTAGATGGTAGGGTAGACTCATACAATCCAGTTCAAAGTGGATAATGCGGATTTGATAACCTGGATTAAATGGCAGTGTAGACTCATATAATTCAGTTCAAAGCAAATAATGTAGATTTGATAATCTGGATGATATGGCAGTGTAGACTCATATAATCTGGTTCAAAGCAGATAATGTGGATTTGATAATCTCTATGATATGGCAGTGTAGACTCATATAATCCAGTTCAAAGCTGATAATATGGATTTGATAATCTGGATTATATGGCAGTGTAGACTCATATAATCTGGTTCAAAGCAGATAATGTGGATTTGATAATCTGGATTATATGGCAGTGTAGAGCCAGCCTTAGGCCCCTTCTACACAGCCATATAATCCAAGTTATCAAGGCAAATAATCCCCATTATCTGATTTGAACTGGATTATTTGAGTTTACACTGCCATATAATCCAGTTCAAAGAAGATAATCTGGGTATTATATGGCAGTGTAGAAGGGGCCTTAGGGGCCTTCCATACAGGCCTATATCCCAGGATCTGATCCCAGGTTTTCTGTTTATCCCAGATTATCTGGCAGTGCGGACTCATATAATCCGGTTTAAAGCATAAAACCTGGGATCAGATCCTGGGATATAGGGCCTGTCTGGAAGGGCCCTTAGTCAACAAGGCACATCCATACAGATAAAATGAAATCAGATGAGAAACTTTCGCAAAATACCTTTTTTTTTTTGTTGCCAATAAATTTACAAAAAATCCATGGGAATTAATTGCTGGCACACCCATATCCTGAAATCCAAAGTCTCTTTGATGGCAACACGATTTCTTCCAAGCCATTTGAGAGCAGTCCTTTTGCTGCTGGTTTCTAATACACTCCGGCTCTCATTTCTGCACTTGTTTGTCTAGTGCAATGATATAAAGTATCTCATAACTTGGAAGGAAATCTTTAGATTTAACTTTTCACATGCATCTACTGTATATAAACATACAGTATATAAACACCACCCAATCTGTGGCCAAATGTATTCAATCATTTCCACCTTAAGAGTTAATTTTATTTTTCATTCAAGAGAAGTAGAGTTTTGAATCTAGTTCAAGACCTGCCTTTTTGCACTCAGTAATTTTATCTCCAATCCCAAATATATAAAGGCTAACTGCAGTTTTTTGCTTATAAAAGGGTTGAGTGGGGTGCATATTTTAGTAAATCTGACCAGGGGCCTTATGTCCAAGAACACATGGCTATAGCACAAATCCTAAAAACACTCTGCACATTTCAAGGAACTCTTTTGAAAAACTGTTATTCCAAAATTCTAAGGTCCCTTCTACACTGCCATATAAAATCCACATTATCAATTTTGAACTGGATTATATTGCAGCGTTGCATTTTATAGGAAAATAATGCACATCCTCACCACGTTTTCCCACCCAATTCCTGTAAAGTGTTTTGTGTGATTCTTTGTTTAGTACAAATCCTAGTAAACCTAAAATGAATCATAAAATATAATAGAAACACAACAGTTCGGTTTTGAGTCCAAATTCTAGGACAAAACAATGGGCGGCATTTTATTTTGTTGGTTGCATAGAGCAGCAATACAGTTAGTTAGAAACTCTAAATGGAGTTTTCCAAAATACAGCTAGATCTTTCTACTTGATGCATACAGCTATTATATACAAATTCCAAAATATTCCTACACTATAGATTAGTGCATTTGTTTTTTAAAAAAATTAAAGAAAATCTAAGGCCACAGTAATGAAATTGTAAACAAAGCAACTTGAGAGGGAACTAGAACATTCTAATGTGTGCATTGTCGTTTTTAGTTTCTTTAACATTTTTTTTCATGTCAGGAGTGACTTGAGAAACTGCAAGTTGCTTCTGGTGTGAGAGAATTAGCTGTCTGCAAGGACATTGCCCAGGGGATGCCCGGATTTTTTACCATCCTGTGGGAGGTTTCTCTCATGTCCCTGCATGAGAAGCTGAAGCTGACAAATGAGAGCTCACCCTGCTCCCTGGATTTGAACCGCTGACCTTTTGGTCAGCAGTCTTGCTGGCACAAGGGTTTAATCCAGTGTTTCTCAACCTGGGGTCCCCAGATGTTTTTGGCCTACAACTCCCAGAAATCCCTGCCAGGTTACCAGCTGTCACGATTTCTGAGTGTTGAAAACCAAAAACAACTGGGGACCTCAGGTTGAGAACCATTGGTTTAACCCATTGCACCACTGAGGGCTCCTTTCTTGAACATAAGTGTGACCATCCATTTCCAACAAACCCCTCAACCTCTGAGGATGCCTGTTATAGATGTGGACAAAATGTCAGGAGAGAATGCTTCTGGAACATGGCCATACAGCCTGGAAAACTACAGCAACCCAGTATTCTGGACATGAAAGCCTTCAAAAACACATCCAACCCTTGGTTATTTATTTTACAATGTAGAAAGCCTATTCTTCCAAGATGCAGGCCCATATTTTGGTGTAGCACTTTTTGCCACTAACACGGGGCTGAGAACTAAACAGCACCTCCACTCTGATTTTATGGAATTGGAAGTCCCAGTATTCCTCTCTAATGATTTTCTTGCCTATGGCAGATGTGATTGACAGTTCAATAACATCTGGAAGATGACACAATTCCCACATTGCGACTAACTTCCCACTCAGGAAATGTTCCTTTTACAAAGAATACTCTTTTATGGATCCACTTTATTTATGCCCCAAAATTTAATGGCACCCAAATGTGCTACCTGAGAAGACAAGGGAAGGAAAGAGAATGAGGAAGGAAGAAAACACATTGGTATTGGATAAAATACCTTTAAAGGAATGGTTACATAGAGCATGAAGAAGATGGGTTGTTGTAGGTTTTTTGGGCTATATTGCCATGTTCTAGAAGCGTTCTCTCCTGACATTTCACCTGCATCTATGGCAAGCATCCTCAGAGATAGAGAGGTCTGACCTCAGACCTCAAAACCTCTGAGGATGCCTGCCATAGATGCAGGTGAAATGTCAGAAGACAATGCTTCTAAAACATGGCAATATAGCCCCAAAAACCTACAACAACCCAATGATTCCAGCCATGAAAGCCTTCGACAATACATTGAAGAAGATGCTCTTTGAGGAGCAGAAATCCAAGAAAGCAACTTTTCCAAATTATAGTCATGGTGTACATTGTGGCTATGGATACAAACAAACAAGAAAGACTGAGGATTACTCCTAACCAGGCTATTGGATTTAAGGCAAAACATCTAGGCACTCAACCAAGGCTGTTTGTGTGACATACACCAAACAAGGGCTATACTGCAGTGCCAACCCTTCAAACTTCTGTCCCCTCTCTGCTATAGATCAGATTGTTCACACTGAAGGTACTCAGGACTGGGGTGCTGAGGCAGCTTGATTGTCCACTTGTACCTGCATAGTAATTCATCCTGGCATTGGACTGAGAGCCGAGTTCAAATCCTGAGGATGGATTGCTATGGGCAACAGCGCACGAGCTCAAGTTAGGCCCATTCTGCCTCCCAGGCATGAAATCAGACCCTGGCCCACTGAAAAACTGCCTGGAAAAGCCATTCCGCCTGTGGGCAACAGCATTCATGGTGGAGACAAATGTGGAGAAACAACGGCTGGAGCTCAGGCTGGGGGATTTGCAGTCAGTCATCAAACCTGGGGAGCATCTCCGTGGCACAGATGCCACATTGTGAGGTTCAGAGGCTTGTGAGACTGTGGGACTGCTTCTTTTGTCTTCCACTTTGTTGGGTGCTCCAGACCCATTGGCAGCGTCTGATCGTTTCTTCCTCTTCCTTCTGAAGTTGCCATTATCAAACATCTTCTCACAGTTTGGATCCAGGGTCCAATAATTGCCTTTACCTATGAACCAGTCAAGAACACATGGATTTAACAGGGGCAGAAAAAACAGCTGAAAGCACAAAACATCAACAAGAAAAAATGTTTATTGGAAGAGCACAATGCTGTCCCTTGAAAATAGACCAGTTCTTATGATAAGTGCTATTTAATTAAAATCTCTTTTATTCCAGTATTTAATTCTATTGATTTTGCTTTTTGTTCCTGTCTTCATAAAAAGCAAAGGTTTTCCCTTGACATTAAGTCTACTTGTGTTTGACGCTGAGGGGTGGTGCTCATCTCCATTTCTAAGCCAAAGAGTCGGCCTTGTCTGTAGACACCTCCAAGGTCATGTGGCTGGCATGACTGCATGGAGCACCATGGTAAATTATAGAGTTGTGTGTGGAATTCGTTTCTCCTGTTTCTTTTGTTTCTTTGGGAACACGAAACGGGAAGCCCCCTCCCCACACAAAAATCAGCTCCACAGAAAGCAAGCTGGAGCTGATCCCGGCTCCAAGCCTGCTTTCGGCTGCAGCCGAGTGCCTCCTAGAAGGACTTGCCTCCTTGTTCTGTGTATGTGTGCGTGTGTTATTGTGTGTGTGGTGTGCAGGTAAGCATGAACACCTGCCAGTACCTCAGCCAGTGCCTCAGCTGAGCACTTCTTACTCTAGAGCAGTGGTTCTCAACCAGGGGTCCGCAGATGTTTTTTGCCTTCAACTCCCAGAAATAATAACATCTGATTAACTGGCTGGGATTTCTAGGAGTTGTAGGCCAAAAACATCTGGGGACCCCAGGTTGAGAACCACTGCTCTAGAGTAAGAGGCATTCGGCTGCAGGCACTGGCAGGCGAGCATGCTCTCTGGGCCTGCACACTACACCACACACACACGGTCTTTCCATGGAGAGTGTCGGTGTGGCGTGACTTGCAGGCCTGGAAAGCATGTGTGCTTGCCAGTGCCTAAAACTGAACACCTCCTCTAGAGTAGAAAAAGCAGGAAAGAAGCCTTATTAAAGCATGCTCTGGAAAGGAGAGCCTGGTTGAGAAGCCCCCCCCCCCCCCCCATAATGGTACAGTAGGAAACAGAAATTTTCCCTCTTGATTTCGGAAGGCTCCCAAATAATTGATTAGGGCCCCCAACCGAAAGCTGGGACATCAAACAGGTCAAGTTTTACTCTGAATGCACAACCCTAGTAAATTATAAAATTAAAAAAAATATTATCCTGATAAAGCAGAAGCGATTTGTAACCATAAATATATTTAAAGAGAGGGTACTCTCCTTCCCAGAAAGCTTGAATTTATTTAATTAATGCAATGTATATAAACAGATGCTCATCAGTAAGAGACCCGGAGTGATTTTTGGACCCATCCCTATTGAGTGTCCAGCTGCCAGATTTGGATTCTGTTGTTTTCTGAAGGAGAATTGGCAGGCAGCTCTGCTGAATTGTTATCTAATTATGCTGCTTTTTCAGATTTTTACAAAATCTGGAAAGTTTAGGATTACAATGATTACATATTTTCCAATATAAAAATCGTAGTTTTGCTATCTAATCTATGATTTTTACACTTGTATTGAAGCAGACAGTGCTGTGGCTGAGTGAAAAATAAGTTACACCACCCCCGAAAAGTGGCCCAGTGTTATTACATCCATTTTGGTCTTTTTTAACCATTTTCTTGGCAAGTCTTTTTCAATTATCAATATAATCTCAAAAGCAGGAATGTAAGATAATACTCATTAAGGACTATTTCATTTAGGTTGCATTTTAATGTCCTTCATTCCACAGAAATGCTTGTTGATGATTACTGTGTTTCTTTTGTCCTGTATTATGAGTGTCAAATTTCAAATCATCTGGATATTCATCCTGCTATTTAGTTTTTTCAAAAGTTTTTGAAAAACTACAAAGGATCATAGTATGTGTTCATGAAAGAGTCATAGCATGTGTTCACAAAAACACACATTCGAGCAATATGAAAGAGGAGAAACACAGTATTCACATATTATTGTATAGCTGCCCCAACGTGAAAAAAACTGTAGTCATCTTTTTTTGTATCCCATTCAATATTGGAAGTTTTAATGAGGATTTATTTCAGAGTAACACATTGAGAATGGCAACACCAGGTTGTAGCATTGTCAATAAACACATTGAAGTCACAATTACTATGTAAAATTGATAACTATCGGGTAATACTTTTGGTGCAAGACTATTCACAGGACCAAGCAACCAAGAATGAATTTGAAACTTGCTGTGCCCACGCTAGCAGGAGGTTTGTTTTGTTTTTCAATATAATAACAAACATTTGTATGGTGTTTTCATAATACACCCCATGCACAATACTTACCATGTATATTCGTATTTAAATCAACCTAATCTATACATTGAGGACAAGCTTTGTAGGGAGGAGGGGCAAGATTGTGGATTTTTATTTGATTCATGGATGTTGAGGGTGATTCCACAGAGAGAGGAAAATATCAATGCCATTTCAAGGGCCAACTACCCTGGCTGCCACTGTCATTTCAGCATTCAAAAAAAAAAAGCAGAAAAAGTTCCACGGCAAAGAGAATAGCATGCCTTTTTAAAAGTTCTCCAAGGATGGACTACACTCCTGCCTTTTGTTATTCTATTTAAAGAAGGGGATGGTTTCTTTTTAGATAAAAGTTACTGTAAAATAAACATAACTGGCCTGGTCATAAGACTTGACCCGAATTTTTGGCGGCTGATTTTCTGACAAATATCTCTAGACTTATACAGGAGTATATAGGTTAATACATCATACATGAGATGTATGATCACAACCAGAAACAATGAAGACATGTGCCCTTGCACTTTGATGCTCTACTGCTGAGTATACATACCCAGTATAGAATACATCTCACCATGTTAAAATGGTGGATGCGGCTCTTAATGAAACTTACCACATTATCACAGCATGTCTACACCCTACATCACTGGAGAAATTATACAGCTTAGTCAGTATTGCACCACCTGATATCCATTAGAAAGTAGCAGCCAAGGCATTGACATATCCAGCCCATCTTCTGTTCAGATATCAGACAGCAAGCCAACACCTTAAATCAAGAAATAAGATCTATAGAGATACTTGCAGGGACATCTCAGCAAGTGAGAGTCCAAAAGTGGCAGGCGAAAACCCGGAACCTCAATCAGTGCCTGACATCAGATGAGAAAATCTCCCTTGGCACACAGAAGATTGGACAATTTGAAAGCCACTGAACAGGCTGCGCTCTGGCACCACAAGATGCAAAGCTAACCTTAAGAAATGGGGCTACAAAGTGGAGTCCATAACATGTGAGTCTGGAGAAGAGCAAACCACAGAACACCTATTACAACGTGAGCCCTGCCTCATGCACAGTGGAGGACCTTCTCACAGCGACACCAGAGGCAGTTTCTGGTCAAACGACATTTAGCATAATGCCAAATTTTTAACTTTGTCTTTTTAAATACATTATAAATATACCCCCAATTAGCTTCTGACATGATAAATAAATAAATATAATACAAGAGATAGGGATGCATTGGTCCTCCAGATATTTTGTTTTATGATTTGCATCAACTTCACCTAACATGAAGTATGATAGAGAATGTGAGAGTAAATCAGTTTAGTCCAACTTTGTCATGAGTTATCTAGTTATATTCTTACAAAAAACCTCATAAAGTAAATCGGTATCACAGTTCCCTTATTGCACATGTGTTCAGTCTGAAGCTAGGAATGAGGAAGGCAAAACCACCTTTGAGAATTCTTTGGCTAAGAAGCCTTTGAAATGTATGGGATCCCCATAAGTCGACAGACTATTTGGAGGCACACAGATCAATACTTCAGCTATAGTTTGTTGTTGAAATGGCCATATGAAATGCTCCTTCAGCTAAACAATTCACTCTCTATGCCAGTGGTTCCCAACCTTTTTTTTGACCAGGGACCATTTTGACCAGGCACCACTCTATAACATTAGTACCAAAAGGGTTACAAATCAGTTTTTGGTCAACTTTAGATTTGATTTGTTTATTTAGGGTGCTGATTCAGAAAAATTGCATTGGATAGACCACATCAGCTCTAGTTTCTGATACAGAACATATGTCACCCAATAGTTGCCATCTGCTCGCTCACAGAAAACCATATTTAATGACTCCTGGCACTATAAGAGGGTTTTGTGAGACCAGTTGCTGTTGTTGCAACGGTGTAGTAACAGTGAGGCCACAGACCATATTTTAGTCCTTGTGGACCACTGGTGGTCCACGGACCATAGGTTGGGAACCACTTCTCTATGCTATTAATGGCCTTTGTATCCCCCTAGAGCACAATTTAGAGTGAAAGCATTGAGTGCTGGTTGAGGACACTGGAGAACAAGGATTTGAATCCCTGCTTAGCCATGGAAACCAATTGGATGATCTTGGGCAAGTCACACTCTCTCAGCCTTAGAGCAAAGCAAGGGCAAATCCCTTCTGCAAGAAATCCAGGTTGTGATAAGTCCACCTTAGGAGTGTCGTGTGTTAGAAATTATTTGGAAGTATACAATAAAGCTGTCCTCTAATTTACTTACTTGCAGGTTGGTACTTCTATGACTAACTTCATTTACGAATGTATTTAAAAATGTTAGCACCATAAACATGAAACCTAACCCTCACTTAAGAGATTTATGGTGATCCTAAAGCAACCAAATCATATCATTTTCTGGGCCAGATTTGTTCAGAAGTGGGTTGCTATCACCATAGAGCATAACACAATGTAACAAAATTTGAAAACAAAATTAAGTTCCTGGTTTGAAAGTGACATTTCCTGTTTAATTGTGTGGGACTTCCTTTGAAAGTAGTTGTTCTACCCCAGAAATTTCTTTTTTGTGGCTGCCACAAACTATGTTAAATTGGTTGACACTCTATAAGATATTCATTGAAAAACTTAGCAAAATGTGTTGCAGGATGTCCCCCAAAAACAAAGTTTTGGCAGTGTAATAAACTTTACCAATGTTTTTATGATAGAACCAATTAGGAAATCACGTGTATAACCCATGAACAAAAGTCGTGTTACATAGTGTAATCTGGGGTCAGAAGGAAAACTCAGGCTTGCCTTTCGGAAAGGGATAAATAAAATGCTCATAACAAGGCAGGCTTTGGGAAAGAGATAGCTGTGGATACTAAAGAAATGTATTCAAAGCTTTTCCTCCACGTCTCCAAGTACCAAGAAGCGGCCTTGTTGTTAAAATGGCTCAAAAGTATGAAAAGCTCTTCTACTACTTGTCAATTTAGCTGTTAAAATAGCTAAAATAAGCATAACATAAAGGAAGGGGAAAGCAGGATCGTACGGGATCAGCTAAAGCAATCGGATGCGTTTATATCCCAAATGCGTCTTACGCCGCCTTTGAAAAAGTTTCTCTTGTTTTGGACAATATGTTGACAGACTGATCCTGGGAGTTGCAGTCCGAAAAGCAAACTTTCTCCTACTAGTTAGTATGCGAACAGAACCACATATGGGTCGATTAATGTACACGAGAAAATCGTCTGGCATATAGGTCCCGTGTCGGCAGAAAGAGAGAAAGAGAAAAAGAGAAAGAAAAGAAAGAAAGAAAGAAAGAAAGAAAGAAATAAAGAAAGAAAGAAAGAAAGAGGAGGGAGAGGAGGGAAGGAAGGAATGAAAGGAAGGAAGGAAGGAAGGAAGGAAGGAAGGAAGGAAGGAGGAAGGAAGGGAAGGAGGAGGAAGGAGGGAGGGGAGGAGAGGAGGAGAGGGAGGAGGGAGAAAAAGGGGGAAGAAAGGAAGGAGGGAGGAAGGGAAGAGAAGGAAAGGAAGGAAGGAAGGAAGAGGAGAGGGAAAGGGAAGGGAAGGAGAGGAAGAGGGAAGGAAAGGAAGAAAGAGGAAGGAAGGAAGAAGAGGAAGGAAGGAAGGAAGGAAGGAAGAGGAGGGAAGGAGGAGGGAGGAGGAAGGAAAGAAGGGAGGGAAAGGAAGAGAAAGAAAGGAAGAAAGGGAGGAAAGAAGGGAGAGGAAAGGAAGGAAAGAAAAGGAAGGAAGGAGGGAAGGAGGAAAGAAGAGGAGGGAAGGAAGAGGGAGGGAGGAAGGAAGGAAGGAAAGAAGGGGAAGAAGGAGGAGGAAGGAGGAAGAAAGGAAAGGAGAAAGAGGAGGGAAAAGAAGGGAAGGAAGAGGAAAAGGGAAGGAGGGAAAGGAGGGAAGGGGAAGGAAGGAGGAGGAGAGAAGGGAGGAAAGAAAAGGAGGGAGGAGGAAGGGAGGAAGGGGAAGGGGAAGGAAGGGAGGGAGGGAGGAGAGAAAGAGGGAGGGAGGAAGAAAGAAGGAAGGAAAAAGAATGAAATCGATTTTCGACTTTTCTCCGAATTTTGAAATTCCTGCTTGGATTATTGAAAGGAAGTGGATTAGGCGCTTCCTTCCTTCCTTCCTTGCTTGCTTTTTTGGAATATGACAATCTGTTTACAACGTTCATCGAATAGGTGACGATTACATCCCCCTCCCTCTCTCTCCCTCTCTCAAGTCTCTAGGCATCGAGTCCCGAATGCCCTCATCTCTTCCTTGGAAATGCACGGAACATTAGATTTTTCGAAGGTGCATCTACACCGTAGAAATAATCCAGTTTGGCCCCACTTTAACTGCCGGCTCAAGGCAATGAAATCCTTGGAGTTGTCGTTTGGCGAGGCAGCAGCACTCTTTGGCAGGGAAGAAGGCCTTGTGCAACTCCCAAGACTCCACAGCATCGGGCCACAGCAGATGAAGTCCAAACCGCATCCTTTCTACACGATCCGACAATTCCAAGTCCGGTTTGATGCCCCTGGGGTGGGTCTCCGGAGTTTTTTCGCCCAGGTCGAGGCAGAAACGGGTTTAACGCGCGTGAGAATGTCCCTGAAGGATGCTAGTTTAGATCCACTTAAGGCTGGGTTTTCACTGTCATTTAATACAGTTTGAACTACATTACATATACTGGCAGTCAGCAAATTAGGTGCAAGATAAATTCTGTAGGTGTGTTCTTAAATTGAATTTGTATGTAAGTCAGAACAGGTGTAACTCCAGCCATACACTTACTTACATACATACGTATGGATATAGCTTTGGATAGCATAGGGAAGAGCTAACACCTTTGTGATATTTGCTCTGCTGTCTGTGTCTCTATTCAAAAGATTTCACCTCACTTCCCATCCCTGTGATCACTGGATTTTGAAAAATATGGCTTGTTGTGGAAACAAGGATGAAGGATGATGATGAAGCTTGAGTGGAGACACCTTTTCCCCATGATAACCCTTCAAGGAGTGAATTTCCCTTCTTAGAGATAGGGTTAATTTCCCTTCCTAGGGGTAGATTTCTCTCACTTCTTATTGTTTCTGCTCTGTTCTTAACTGTGAGTCATTTGCAAATTGGATGTTTCTAACTCGGGGACCCTGCAGTTAGCTTGTTGAGCTCCATAGGAGAGAAACTTCTTAGACCTTCAGGATGGCCTTCTAGAACAGGTTGCATGTTTGTAAGTGGGGTGTTCGTAACTTAGGGGCTGACTGGATATTAAATGGTCAGTACTGTAGACCCTTCCCGCCGGAGGTAACGGCGCTCCATGCAGTCATGCCGGCCACATGACCTTGGAGATGTCTATGGACAACGCCGGCTCTTCGGCTTAGAAATGGAGATGAGCACCACACCCCAGAGTCAGACATGACTGGACTTAATGTCAGGGGACTACCTACCTTTTACTGTAGACCCAGATAATGCAATTAGAAGCAGTTCAGTGCATCATATGGCAGTACAGATCCCAGCTTCAGTGAGGCCCCTTCCACTCAGATAAATAAAATCCCACATTTTCTGCTTTGAATTAGGATATATGGCGGTGTGGACTCAGATAACCCAATGTGGGTAATTCTGCCTTCATATTGTGGGTTATATGGCTATGTGGAAGGGCCCTGAGCTATCTTGGACAGGCCACGCTCTCTCAGCCCTTGGAGTACCTTTCCTTACCAAACGACTACTCCAAGGCCCTTTCATACAGCCCTATATCCCACAATATCTGCTTTGAACTGAGTTACTGAGTCCACACTCAGCTAATGTGGAAATTTCTGCCTTGATATTCTGGGATATAGGGTGGTGTGGAAGGGCCCCCAAAAACCCATAGCCTTGAGCAGTGCATTCCTTCTACAGTGTAGAGTCAACCCAAGGTAAAGGTAAAGGTTTTCCCCTGATGTTAAGTCCAGTCCTGTCTGACTCTGGGGGTGTTGTCCGTAGACACCTCCAAGGTCATGTGGCCAGCATGACTGCATGGAGCGCCAGAGTGGTACCTATTGATCTACTCACATTTGCAGCCTATCCAAGCGACCATGGATAGGTTGCACTCTCTCAGTCATAGTGGTGACTTATTAAACTCCCAATCTCCGGAATCACACACACTCTAGGAGTGCTTTACCAAACTCCAACTCCTAGGATCCAATTGCCTTGAGTCTTGGAAGTTCAAGTGGTGCCAAACTACATCCATTCTACAGTGTAGATGGAGCCTGATTGGGCTCCCTTGGACAAGTCACACTCTCTTAAAGCCTTTTTAAACTCCAACTCTCAGGATCCCATAGCCTTGAGCCCTGGCAGTTCAAGTGCATCCATTTCATTGTACAGTATAGATCACGTATGGGCAAACCCAGGCCCGCACTTTTCTCAGCCTCCCCCCCTCAACATCCTGTTATTCCTTCCTTCTCTTTCCTTCCTCCTTCCCTCCCTCTTTCGCCCTCCCTCTTCCCTTTCACTTTTTCATCCTTCCTTCCCACTTTCCTCCCTCCTTTACTCTTTCTCCTTCCTTCCTTCCTTTCTCTTCCCTTCCCTCCTTCTCCTTCCTTCCTCTCTTTTCCCTCCTTCCTCTCCTTTCTCCTTCCTCCTTCCTTCCTTCCATTTTGTCTTTCCTCCCTCCCTCTGTCCCACCCTTCCTTCCATCCTTCTCTTCCTCCCTTTTTTCCTCCCTTCTATTTTTCTTTCCTCCTTTCCTCCTGGGAGGTGTTTAGCTGGGAGAAGAGAAGGTAGAGAGGGAACATGAGAACCATGTTTCAAGATTTAAAAGGGTGTCCCATTGAAGAGGAGGAGGAGGAGGAGGAATAACTGACTTTCTGCCAGGGCATAAGGGAGCAATGGCCTTCAAATGGAAGGGAACGAGATACGACTGAAAAGATTAGGAAGAACTTCCTGGAGAGTGGCATAGGCTGCCTCGGAGTGTGGTGGAGTCTCCTCCGAGGCTGTCTATCAGAAGTGCTTTGATTGTGCACTCTTGCATGGCAGGAGGTTGGACTGGATGGCCCTTGGGGGTCTCTTCCAATTCTAAGATTCTAGGATTCTGTATCAGGAGTAGGGAATAAGGCATCTAATGGATACTCTTTTTCTCTCCCGTCCACCACCTCATCACCAAGTCCAACCCTTTTGGGATCCAAAAGTTTCCTGTCTTTGCCCCTGAAAAGAGAAGAGGAAGGGGAGGAAAGCGCAGGAGGGGGCTTGGGGAGGACCCCCTCCCTCTTAGCCCACCAACCCTGGTCCTGCTCGCCATGTGGCCCCCAAATTAGAAAGTTTGCCCATGCCTGGTGTAGATGGAGTTCCTTTGGAGAAGTCGCACTCTCTGAAAACCTTAGGGCTCCCTTTCCAAGCTCCCAGCTCTCAGGATCCCGCAGCCTTGAGCCCTGGGAGTGTGGATGCGTCCTGAAGGAGTTCCCTGGAGCAGGTCACACTCTCTCAGCCCCCCCCCCCCCGGCCCTCCTTACCGGGGTCGTCCTCGTGGCGGGGCACCTTCTTGAAGCAGTCGTTGAGCGAGAGGTTGTGCCGGATGGAGTTCTGCCAGCCGGCCTTGCTGCGCTTGTAGAAGGGGAAGTTCCCGGCCACGAACTGGTAGATCTGGCTGAGGGTGAGCTTCTTGCCCGGCGCGCTCTGGAGGGCCATGGCGATCAGCGCCGAGTACGAGTAGGGCGGGCGCACCAAGCGCAGAAACTCCTGCTGCCCGGCCCTGGCCAGCGAGGACAGCCAGCCCAGCTCCGAGCCATAGTAAGGCGGCGGAGGAGGAGGAGGAGGAGGATGCGGGTGGGGATGCGGGGCGGAGGAGCCGTTGAGCCACAGGTAAGGCGGGCTGCCGCCCCCTCCGCACCCGCCGCCCGGGACCTCCCCAGCCAAGCTGTAAGCCGGGCCCGGGAAGAGGCTCAGGTTGGCGTTGTTGCTGTCGCCCCCGCCGCCGTAGAAGGCGGCCACCTCCAGCAAATCGTGGGCGCAAGGAGCCGCCTGCCCCTCCAAGGCGCTCATGGTCAACCCAGGTGCCCGGCAGCCCGCGGCCCGAGCGAGGAAGAAGACCTTGGCCAAGGAGGGGGGGGGCAGCAGCGCCACCTCCTCGCCCTGCCCCACCGAGGAGGACAAGCCCTCCCCAAATACCCGCCCGCCCGCCCCGTCGTTCCCACAGCTCTCCCCTGCGGCGCCCAGCGCTGTACGCGGCCCACATTCCAGCCTCCCCGATTATCTCTCTCACCCCCCACCCCACCTCACCCCATCCTTGGCAGGGAGTCTGTGCCATGGAGGGCCCTCTTCCCTTTCTCATCGACGCCCCCCACTCCGCTCCTCTGACTGGGAAGGCAAGGAGGAAAAGGGGGGTCACTTCCAGGGAGGATGGCAAGTCTGTCAGAGGGTCTGACCGTTCTCTAAAAAGGGCATTCACCTCGTCATCATCACCAACATCATCATTATCACCATCAGCAGCAGTATCATCATCACAATCATCATCATCATTAGCACCATCACCATCATTCGTTACCACACCTTCATAATCTCTACCACCGCTGCCACCATCAGCAGCATCACCATCATCATCGCCACCACCATCACTATTATCAGCAGCATCACCATCACAATAATAATAATCACCACCACCATCACCATCATCACCAGCATCACCATCAGTTACCATCATCATCACCACCACCATCATTCATTACCATCATAATCATCATCACCATCATTATCAGCAGCAGCAGAAGCATCACTATCACAATCATCATCATCATAATCACCTCAACCATCGCTATCATTCATTACCATCATCACCACCATATCACCACCATCACCGTTATCAGCATCACCATCGTTCATTACCCTGATCACTACCATCACCATTATCATCAGCACCATCACAATAATAATCATCATCATCATCATCATCACCACCACCATCATCATTCATTACCATCACCATCACCATCATTATCAGCAGCAACAGCAGCATCACTATCACAATCATCATAATCACCATCACTATCATTCATTACCATCACCACCACCATATCACCACCATTATCAGCATCACCATCACCATCATTCATTACCCTGATCACCACCATCATTATCATCAGCACCATCACAATAATAGTAATAATAATAATAATCATCATCATCATCATCACCACCACTACCACCATCATCATTCATTACCATCATCATCACCATCATTATCAGCAGCAGCAGAAGCATCACTATCACAATCATCATCATCACCATCACTATCATTCATTACCATCATCACCACCATATCACCACCATCACCATTATCAGCATCACCATCGTTCATTACCCTGATCACTACCATCACCATTATCATCAGCACCATCACAATAATAATCATCATCATCATCATCATCACCACCACCACCACTACCACCATCATCATTCATTACCATCATCATCACCATCATTATCAGCAGCAGCAGAAGCATCACTATCACAATCATCATCATCACCATCACTATCATTCATTACCATCCTCACCACCATATCACCACCATCACCATCATCAGCATCACCATCAACATCACCATCATTCATTACCCTGATCACCACCATCACCATTATCATCAGCACCATCACAATAATAATAATAATAATAATAATAATCACCACCACCACCATCATTCATTACCACCATAATCACCATCATTATCAGCAGCAACAACAGCATAGAGGCCACCATTCATTACCATAATCATCACCACCATTATCAGCTGCAGCATCACCATCACAATAATCATCATCACCATCATCTTCATTATAATCACCACCATCTTCATTATCAACAGCAGCATTAGCATTACAATAATCATCACCATTCCCCATTCTTATTTATTTATTTATTTATTTGGGGTTCTTGTACCCCGCCCTTCTCACCCCGAAGGGGACCCAGGGCGGCTTACAGCTGCAAGGCGCACTTAGACACCTGCCATACAAACAATCATCATAAAATACCTCGATACAAATTCCCACAATTCAGCATAATCCAATAAAATCAATAAAATGATAAACAATAAAGCAATAAAACATACAAACCTAGATCTTCCTTCTACCCATCAGTGTTCATTAACTCAAGGGTCTGTTTCGATTCCATTTCAACAACCTGCTGATCTTACACATCTGGTTGTCATATTTAGTTGTCTTATCTAGTTGCCTGGTTGCCCGAAGGCCTGGTTCCACAACCATGTCTTCACCCTCCTCCTGAAAGAGAGGAGGGTTGGTGCTGTTCTGATTTCCCCTGGGAGTGAGTTCCACAGGTGGGGGGCCACCACTGAGAAGGCCCTGCTTCTCGTCCCCACCAGCCTCACTTGTGAGAGTATTCTTCTGTATCCACAAGTGCCCGGCTTCAGTTAAAAGCCCCTGGTGGCGCAATGGGTTACACCCTTATGCAGGCAGGACTGAAGACTGACAGGTCATAGGTTTGAATCCGGGGAGAGTGCGGATGAGCTCCCTCTGTCAGCTCCAGCTCCCCATGTGGGGACATGAGGGAAGCCGCCCACAAGGATGATAAAACGTCAAAACATCCAGGTGTCCCCTGGGCAATGTCCTTGCAGACAGCCAATCCTCTCACACCAGAAGCGACTTGCAGTTTCTCTCTCAAAAAAAGTTAAAAGCTGCTTCAAACCCATCTTCAACAAGCGATGTTTGCACTATCTCTGGGTTCTGTTTTACATATATTTCTGGCTACCTCAGTAACCTTACAGACCTTTGCCACTATCTTTTACAATCACAATAAATAGTGTAACTGCCCAGGACCTAATCCTGCGACTGCGTTTTTAATACTAAAGTTTGATTATGTGAATTAATACGAACAGGGAAGGAGTTTCAGAAGAGGGTTGGAGAAAGTGTGGATGTCTAAATATTCCAGGACTGCATCTCTCATTAGCCCAGGCTGAACCAGCCAATAGAATAATAGAGTTGGAAGAGACACATGGGTCATCTAGTCCAACCCCCTGCCATACAGGAAAAATACAATCAAATCAGCCCCAACAGATGGCCATCCAGTCTCTGTTCAAAAGCCTCCAAGGAAGGAGCTTCCACCAAGCTCTGAGGTAATGAGTTCCACTGTTCCAGCTCTTATGGTCAGGAAGTTCTTCCTGATGTTCAGGTAGAATTTCCTTTCCTGTAATTTGAACCCATTGCTACTAGTCCCAGGACTCTTCCAAGCAGACCAGAATTTTTTTTAAAAAACCTGCCTTGGCACGTATTTTTGTCCCCACTGCATCCCAAAAACCGGGCAATTGGAATGGCATGCAGCCACCCCAAAGTACCCTAAAAACTAAAGAAAACTTTCCTGGCCACTATTAAGTTCCTCCTTGCAGCCTCCTAGCATGAGGAAATGATGCACCAGGAGACTTGGGGGGGGGGGGGGTGAGGAATAAAATACCTTCCTCACTACCCTGACTTCCTGGCATGTCATTTCCTCACACTATCACGGACATTCGGCTATAAGAGCTCAAAAGATTTGGGATAGCAAATGGGGACCCACCCCTCGGTATTCCCAGGACTAGCCAGAAGGAAGGCCTGGATCTAATGGGGTATTTAATTAATTCGGAATCACAGAGGTTATTCTGAATTAATACATTTTTACCCGAGGTGTTGTTTGGATACCCCTGGTAAAAACTCAATCTGGTCCCACATTTTGGGCCTGTCTAGATAGACCCTAGTCTCTAGGGCAGCAGAAAACAAGCCTTCTCCCTCTTCCTTATGACATCCTTTCAAATATTTAAACACTGATAAATGAAAATGTGAATTTCACTCCAGCATTGTTCCTTTGGCCTTTGATCTCCATGAAGATCAGAAGTGGGAATGGGTCAAGTGTGCATATGCTTTTCTGCAGAGTTACATGGATACCACCAGCCTTTTACTGAGTATATTGAAGTTGTGAAGTAGGGAGGAACTGAGCATGTGGATCAACAGCAGAGTCCTTCTCATGAACCCATGAGCCCACAGGCATTGTGGAGTGACCATCTCCACCATCTCTTGCCATTCATTGATATCCAACTACACAGGATCGCCAGCTGTAATGTAGCTCCTCCTGTTCCTTGCCCATTCCAGGTATACAAAGTTTCCACAGCCTAGAGGGAGAGAGAAAGGAGGGAATATGATGACATACTGAAGCCATCCATAACAGAGCAGCAGTAAGGGAATGCTTTGAGTGTCATTTTACTGCAGCTTTGTTGTCAGATGGCTTCAGTATGCCACTCTATCCTTTCGTCTTAAAAATAACATTCCAAACTCTGATTCCAGGACAAGATGCAGAGGTGGTGACTGTATTTGTGAGTGTGAGATTGTGTACCTTTTAACTGGCAACAGACAGCGCAGGAAAAAAATAGATTAAGATAGTTCTGGGATTACGTTTAGTATGAAAATGGATTTTAAAGGATCACAGAAGGTGGCTATTTTAACACAACCTTGGTCTATAATGCTTTAGGTCTTCAAAAGGCTGTTAAGCCTTTCCAAATCTGGATAATACTTGTTTGATAAAAGGATCAGGCAATTGTGCAAGCCTCAGTGCATGTATTAGTCCTTTAGTTTGGTATCAAATTTACATGCAACAGATGCCTTGTACTTTCCACCTCAGCATCACAAGCATCCATTCTCATCAACAAAGCTCATTACAGTTGGAAAATGTTTCTGATCTGGAGCAAAAGATAAAATTTGGAAGACATATAGCTGACATCAAACGCGAAGTTTTCCTGAACACAATGCCATATTTAAGGACAACAATGGCCAACCATTCTTTCCTTTTCACAGTACAGTAGTCACTAATTGTGATTGACACTTGTGCATGTAATCATATCCACAGGCAGCTAAACGGTCTGCTTGTGTGCGTATTATTTCACACCTCCGCTTGCACGACTTGTTTTATTTGCTCCCAGAGCTCTTTTTCCATCAATTTTGTCTCTTTGATTTGTAAGTTTGCCACAAAGGAGACTGATTCTTTCTGCAGTTGGTCTCTAGTTGCTAGTTATGTAACAAGAGTCTGCT